TTTTTTAAAAGAGCTCTCGACACAGTGAATCCAGGAGAGATAAACCCCTCAGGAACAGTAATAGGAGTAGCAATACCATGAGGGTAGGGGGAAGTTGGGAGGAGAAAGGGGAGAAAATGGGGACCAATTGAAATGACTGACATATAACACTCCCTGAGGGAAACAAATAGCAGAAATGGGGGTGAAGGGAGACAGTGGACGGTGTAAGATATGAAAACAATAATAATAATATATAATCAAGGATTCCCCAGGAAGGGAGGGTGGGGGAGGGAAGGAAAAAAGAGGAGCTGATACCAAGGGCTCAAGTTGAAAGAAAATGTTTTGAAAAGGATGATGGCAACAACTCGGATACTCCCAAGCGATCGCTCTCCCGGGCTCTGTGCTGGTGGCAAAGGGGAGCACAGGGCTCAGCGCCTCATGATGTACAGTCCTTTTCCACTATGTTGGAGATCAAGCCGGGCCTTGAGTCTGCGCCTGCACATTTCTACAGCTTCTCAGAGTCCCATGGACAATGACTGACCGAGGAGACAAATCATGCAGGGAACATGTCAAAAAAAGAAAAGAAAAGAAAATGATGATGGCAACATAGATCCAAGTGTGCCTGATACAATTGATGCATGGGTTGTTATAAGAGCTGTAAAAGCCTCAAATAAAATGATTCATAAGTAATTTTAAAAAGAAGACAAAGCAGGGAACAAAAATCTATGCAGACTTCAAGTACAATCATCTCATACCAATGCTTCCTTCCACACATTTTGTCAGAACCCAGGCCAGGATAGGGGGCAACCATAGGATGAAGGTGGAGAAAAGGCTCGGGATCAGGCAACAAGGTTAGAAAGCGACTTCAGGACCACCTGCCAATACAACTAACATGCTACTCGCCAGCACTGGACCCCCAGCAGATCCATGCTGGAAGGCAGAGAGGAGGATCCGAGTCCCGCATCCCTAGTGTAAACCAGGCTTCTACGACAAAACCCTTCCTTCTTTCCACCTCCCCTTACTTCTCTTCTGAGACAGCTCTAGGAATTTTTTAATTACTGTTTTGAAACACCCTTCCATGCATAGTTCTTCAGAGCGTCTTTGCTATAGATGGCACGCTTATAAGTCTAGAGAATGGTCAGATGAGCAAGCATGCTAACGGCTCGTCTGCTTTGTTTGTGGCTGATGCTGGTTTGGCCCCAGATAGTCAGTACATTGAACCGGGCCACTTATTTTTTAACTCCAAGAAATCTAAGTACATGGACTGCTCAGAAACTTTTTATTAGTCTCCTTGAAGATGCACTTCATAACCCACTGTGTGCTTCATAAAACTGCGCTCAGCCTTTCTTTTTTTTTTTTTTAAACATTTTATTAGGGGATCAAACAACTGTTATCCCAATCCATACA